TAGTCGCTGAGCTTGTTGACTTTGCTGCTGCCTGTCGTCTAGACTACGCCGCTAGTCTTGTTGCTGAGTCTGAGTCTGTCTGTCCTCCGTCCGTCGGCGGTGAGTGTGCTCTTAGCACGGACGTCCTTGAGGACAGACAGGAGGAGTTCCAGTGTCTTGCTGCTGCTTTACCTCATCTTGTGTCCTCACTGCTTGCCCCTGAGGGAGACCCGGATGCATTAGACATCCCGACTCCGCGCTCTTACGCGGAGGCGATAGAGGGTCCCTACTCCTCTCAGTGGCAGGCAGCCATGGACGCAGAGATGGCTTCCTGGAAGTCCACAGGCACCTACGTTGATGAGGTTCCCCCACCTGGGGCGAACATTGTCAGTGGCATGTGGATTTTCAGGGTGAAGCGGCCGCCAGGTTCTCCGCCTGTCTTCAAGGCGCGTTACGTGGCTCGAGGCTTCAGTCAGCGGCAGGGAGTTGACTACTTTCAGACCTTCTCTCCCACCCCGAAGATGACCACTCTTCGGGTGCTGCTACACATAGCCGCTCACCGTGACTACGAGCTTCACTCTCTGGACTTCAGCACAGCTTTCCTACAAGGCAGCCTACACGAGGAGATCTGGCTGCGCCGCCCACCTGGCTTCACTGGGTCGTTTCCTCCTGGTACCTAGTGGAGCCTCCGGCGGCCAGTCTACGGTCTCCGCCAGGCGCCGCGTGAGTGGCACGACACACTGAGGACTACGCTTGCGGCTCTTGGGTTTGCTCCTTCTACTGCCGACCCGTCGCTGTTTCTACGCACCGACACCTCTTTGCCGCCGTTCTACATCCTCGTGTACGTCGACGACTTGGTCTTTGCTACAGCTGACACTGCTGGACTCGCCTACGTGAAGTCCGAGCTGCAGAAGCGACACACGTGCACAGACCTGGGTGAACTGCGCAGCTATCTTGGCCTGCAGATCACTCGGGACAGAGCACGGCGCACCATTACTCTGACTCAGTCACACATGGTGCAGCAGATCCTTCAGCGCTTTGACTTCACGTACTCCTCGCCTCAGGCCACTCCTCTGTCTACTCGCCACTCGCTCTCAGCTCTGCCTTCGGATGAGTCCGTAGAGCCGAGTGGCCCGTACCCAGAGCTTGTTGGCTGCCTCATGTACCTGATGACCTGCACACGACCTGACCTGGCCTACCCTCTCAGCATACTCGCACGCTATGTTGCTCCTGGGAGACACCGACCAGAGCACATGGCTGCAGCGAAGAGGGTGTTGCGCTACTTGTGCAGTACGTCAGGCATGGGGCTCGTGCTTGGAGGGCGGAGTCGAGTGGTCCTCACAGGTCACGCAGACGCGTCTTGGGTCGACGACCTGGCTACACAGCGGTCGTCACAGGGTTACACCTTCAGCCTTGGTTCCGGCTCTGTTTCGTGGCGGTCTACTCGCTCGTCTTCTGTTCTCAGCTCCAGTTGTGAGGCTGAGATCTACGCAGGAGCCATGGCTGCACAGGAGTTACGCTGGCTGACCTACCTGCTGACTGACCTTGGAGAGCCGCCTCGTTCTCCTCCAGTTCTGTACGTAGACAACAAGGCCATGCTGGCCTTGTGTCAGGAGCACAGACTGGAGCACAGAACGAAGCACATCGCTCTTCGCTACTTCCTTGCTCGTGAGCTGCAGCAGCGTGGTCAGCTGCGCCTTGCTTACGTGGCCACTCGGGCCAACACTGCTGATATCTTCACCAAGGCTCTTCCGCCTTGCGATCATCAGCGCTTTTGTACTATGCTAGGTCTTGTGCCTACTTGGCCTCATTTGCTCACTTCTTGACCTTGCTTGTACTGTGTCTTGTATATACCTGCTCTTGTTTGTTTACCTCTATATATCATCCTGCATGTGAACCGGCCTTGAGGCCTTAAACCTTTGCTCAGAATGTGTGGTGACATTGTGATCCACCCTGAGCTTTGCTTCGGTTTGCTTTGCTTGACTGATCTTGTGACCCCTTGTGTTGGCTATCCCCCACTTCGCCTATGGGGGTGTGTCAAAACATATGCATATTAGTATCTAGGCTATATTGGGGCTAGCCTTAGAGGGTACAGAAACATTCTCGACACTCTAGTCTTGTACCCCAACCTTGACCTAATCACACACCACTTCATGCCTAAGATTCTAAGACCTTTTAGCGTATTTCCCTTCATCATCCCCTCCTTGCCTTCCTCCTTATTTCCTTTTAGTCGTGCTTGTTTCTTGTTCTCTTCCTCTTTTCTTCTCTTCTTACCTTTTCATATTCCTCTGCTGGTCTCCTTCTTTGGCCTTTCTTTTTTTTTGCTTATTCGTTTGTTGTATCTAGATTAGGCTGTTTTTATCACTTCGTTTTAAATGAGTTGTATACGTTTACGTCATATTACTGGTGTTCCATTTGTTTATTCGTGTATCTTTGTCACTGTTTTCCTGCATTCCTTCGCGCTGTCCTGTCTCGTTTATTCATATAATATGATCTTTTTCTTCCTTTAACCCTACGGTCATGTCTGCTTTCATCTGTCACCTACTACTACGTTTTCACTGGTTTCAGTGCTCTTTTTCTTCTTAGCTAGTGTTTTGTGTAAGCTATTAACTTACAACTTTCAGTTCCCTTTCTCCGTGCAACCATCCGCTTGCTCATCTTCTAGAACTGACACATGACTTCCTCGTCCGCTTCGTTTCTTATTTCTATGTCTTCTCGCTTTCAATTCATTAGTTTGTTTGTTCCTTTCCTTTTCAACCAGAATCGACAGCCTTTCCTCAATTCTCATAGCACATGTGTGACTTCGCAGCAAGGTGAGTTCGTACTAGGTTAAAAGGTCAAGTAACTTCATTTCTGCTGCTTCTCAAGGTGAGTTCTCTCTCTTTCGTTCTCTCTCTCTCGTTCCCTCTCTCTTGTTCTTTCTCTCTCTCTCTCTCTCGTTTGTACTCTCTCGATCGTCCTCTCTCTCTCTCTCTCTCTCTCTCTCTCTCTCTCTCTCTCTCTCTCTCTCTCTCTCTCTCTCTCTCTCTCTCTCTCTCTCTCTCTCTCTCTCTCTCTCTCTCTCTCTCTCTCTCTCTCTCTCGCGCGCGCGCGTCCTCTCTCTCACGCGCGTCCTCTCTCTCGTCCTCTCTCGCTCTCTCTCTCCGTTGTTCTCGCTCTCCGTACTTATTATATTATCTTCTTTCGTTTACTGTCTCGTTATTTTGTTCCCGTCCCTTTCGTTTTATGCCTCGGTACATTCTTCTCCTTGCTCTTTGTCAGCTCTAACCATTCAATGCTCACGACGTTTCTCTTAGGCCTTGTATTGTTTCATTCGTTTGTTCGTTATTCATGTTTCTCTTCATTTCATCACACCTCATACCTTTTTCTGTTTTGTTTGTTGTACCGACTATTTCTTTCCGTTCTTCCTTTCCACTTCCTAAACCCGTCTCTCAGGATCCTTGCTGGTCAGAAAGGCGATTTCAATTTGGAAAATGTGTATTGGTCACTAGGATTTATGGTATTGTCCTTTTAACATTAATTTGCTTGTTATTAGTATCGCGTGTTTTTTTGGCTGGGTTTGCCAGAGCTCGCTCTTCTTATTGTGTGAATGTGTTTGTTTGTGTGAGTGCATTCATCTCATCTATCATTGCAATATCAATGCATGTCTGTCAATTTTAAAAAAGAGGTTCAATTCTATCATTTCTCATTGGTTCATTGGCGCACTCAGTGACTCGTGTGTTTGCCACTTCGAACTGGATTTGATAGAGTGAACCTCTTTTTTAGAGTTAACAGATTGTATTGTTTCATGTGCTAGTTGATTATTCAAAGACTTTGCTATTGACTTCCCCCCCATGCTAGGCAGGGGATGCGGTAGCCTAGTTTTTGGGTCGTTAACTATCACGCATTTGTATGATCTATTGGTGTGGTTGCATTTCAGCATATCACGTGCATACAAAAGCATGTTCATGCGTGTATCGATATTATGCATCTATATGTCTTGCCTCATCATTACATTCATTTAAGCATGCGTGGTGTGTAATTCATTATTATTATTCATAACATTTATTACATGCAATTATCACAACAACATCAAACAGTAAAAGATATAATACAAAAAGTAGCATTTATGCACAAAACTACTACAAGAGAAGGATTTCGTGACAAAATTCGTTTTAAAACTGCTATCATTATGCAAAACTGTTCAACATGCACAATGGGAAGGGTGGGACTGTAGCTTACAAATTTTATTTTCATGTTCTATTCAAAACAAAAACATGAAAAAAAAAAGTGTCAAAATCGATCGTAAAGGGTTGCTTCGCAACCCAAAAAACTGCTTCTTTTTGTCCCACAAATCCCAGGGTTCCACATGTGCTTCTAAGCTGCTAAGGGCACAGCCTCGATTTGCTTCTGTTCACAATCAGGATGGAGATTTGTTGTCTTTCACCTTAGCTGCATACTCTACAAAACGGTCCATATCCGCCTGAATAATGCTCTCCACTAAAGGGTTTAGGCTCTGCAACAAATGATTTGGGTGGGAGAATGGATCAGCAGCACCAAATGATGATTTGTTAAACCACATATATGTAGATAAAATCTAAAGCTCGAGTCAATGTAGATTACAATGCATATGCAAAAAACGTACCGCAAGAACAGGGACGAGAATGTCAGGGCATTGGTAGGTGAGAGTCATCTGTAACAGTGAGACAGAGCAACGGTTTCAAAATGTAACTTGGCGGCTTCACCAGCAACCAATCACAGCCAACTACAAATGACACCCAGCAGTGCTCAAACAACAGTGACAACCAGCAATCTCCCTCATCCCCCTTCTCACCTCCGCCGTGCCCCCACAGGCCCCTCTGGAGAAGAAGTACCCTTCAGTCCACCAAACCGTGACCTTTACATCTCCCCTCATCCGCCCTGCCCTCATCCCCCTTTCAACCCTCATATCCCCTTCACCCTCATCCCCATTTCAACCCTCATATCCCCTTCACCCTCATCCCCATTTCAACCCTCATATCCCCTTCACCCTCATCCCCCTTTTAACCCTCATATTCCCTTCTCACCTCCACCTTGCATCCATTGGTCCCTTTGGGGAAGAACCGCACGGCTCCTCTGCAACAATGGTGGTGGTGGTGATGTTAGCAAGTGAGTATGTGAGTTTGTGAGGAGGTGAGAAGGTGAGATGGTTAACTGCCGGGAGAGCAGTGAAGGTATTCTGAAAATTCCTGGAAATTCCTGAAAATTCCTTGAGAGTGCAGCGAAGCATGATATCTGTGAGGAAATATAATGCATCCCATGTTCTGTCGATCACCAGCCACGTCTAACATCCCACACGTTACCTGTTAGGGACCCCATCCACTGAGCGCCACTGTATCTTCTGATTTGCAATGGGCTGGCGATACAGACGGGGACAGCGGGGCAGGAGAAGAAAGGCAGAGAAGTTTTGTAACAGACAGGGAATCAAATCTTTTTAGATGTTTTGCGTGGGCTAGGGGACGACGGGTTCTCATGGCTCAGATCGCGTCCAAATGCAGTGTATTTGAGAGTCCACTCAGAGAACTCCGGGGACTCCTTGAGAACCTGATGACGTGGCAGAGGCAACATGTGAGCTGGCATGTGTATCTGACAAGGAAAAACAAGGCATGAATCGCATGACACATACTGTGACTTGGAAGGAAATGGCGTTCTACAATGGAATAGTGATAATAACAAAATCATGTCTTTGAGAGCTTGATGTGGTGGCAAGGACTCCTCAGGCAGGGAGTAAGAGACGCCTTCACCGCTTCCAACCCACCTTAACCGAGGTGATCCATGGCATCCAGTTGGGGACTAGCTCGCGATCTGACCAGAGGTCGTAGGCCAATGAGAGGGGAATGTTGGGCGCGTCAGCCACTGCTCTGACGCCACGTGGATTCACGAGCGTCCATTTGTGAGCACAAACGGCAAAGAACGTCGTGTAAGACGGGGGATGAGAATGTGACGGTAAAAGCGAAATACAATCTCGTAACACGCGATTCGAGAGAATGCTGCTAACACGCAATGCAGACACAAAGGTCGTGGTGTGTCTTAGCGTCGCAGAACAGTGAATGAGTATTTTGGTCCACTCGAAGCCAACAGCACTCACTTGCATTCAAGCCACGTGGCAGAAACTAACAGGCGCTCACGCCGCGGGGGCTTGTCACGTGGGGAAACGTCTATAGCGGAGGCCGGGGAAAAAGCTAATCTCTTTAGCGGTGCTCCTACAAACGCGGAAGACATTCTACGACAGAAATTCGCGCCATTTGAGGTACATTGCTCTTTTAACGCCGTAGAAGCAGCGGTGGGCTTATTATTTCGAGCAACTGTCTTAAAACTCGTCGCATCTACCCGCGCGACGCACGCTGGAATGTGAGCCACCGCCATTACCGGCAATGACGGAAATAACAACACTGAAAATTCCTAACCAACAATCTGCGCCAATTTGTGGTGCTGAGCTCAATGCCCACAGCTGAGAGACAAAATCGGTTTCTGCGGTATTGGCAGCTCCATTACTGTATATCTGCAATACTCAAAATTAGCGCAAAAAAAAACAACTAGACAATCCTTTACAATATGTTGCAGCCAAACAAAGAGCCAGCTGAGAGCATCAGTCAGGACTCTGGGAGGGAGTGAAACACTTGTGAAATGTTAATACGGAATAATGCTATGATAAATAGGCACACTACACACTGTGAAGCCTAGCTGGATCGCATTCTACACGAGCGTGCACCCACTAGGTAGAACCGTACGCATAGATGTAAGCTTGATGCCGGAAACAACTCCTTGTTTACGACGAGACGGGAAGGAGAATAGGGCCACCAGGATTATGCGAGAAGATGGATTCATGGCTATCTATAAGCACCATGATAGCTTCCACTATTGCTGTTTGTGCTTGTGTTGGCTCCTCTTCCAAAGGGATCTCTGCACAACCGCCAGTACAAAGAAAGAGGCACCGTTTGAGACAAGAGATGCTCTAACGTTGGCAGAAGCACAAGCTAGATGGAATTACCCTGTTGGCGCACAAATTGCTTGCCACGTATCAGTACGGATACTTGCCCACGATTTGAGGTTACCTCAACACGCACGGTCTCTCTCACGCACACATACATAACCAAACAATGGGGTAACAGCGGATAAGCTAGACCAGAGAATAAGCTAGAGAAGAGGAATATGTGTGCCAGCTCACCAGGAGCAGAGGATTCTCCATTTGCCTTGACAACTGCTGGTCCATCAGCAGCAGCAGCAGCAGCAGCATTCCCTCCACCCCCCACTCGCATTCCCTTCTCACTCTGTGCCCTCCTCATCGCAGGACTCGCCATAGCATCCCCACCACCACCACCACCACCAGCAGCAGCAGCAGCAGCAGAAGCAGCACTGCCCTTGGGCGTCAAAGCAGGAGGGGAAGAGGGGGCCATCAGACTAGGCACATCCTCACTCACTCTCCCACTACCACCACCAGCGCCTCCCCCCGCGCTTTTGCTGGCACTGCTACCATCCATCCCCTTGCTACCGTCCCCTCCATCCCCTGCTGCTGCTGCACCTGCTCCTGCGCCATCCCTGGTTTCGTCTAGACTTAAGGAGGATAGGGAAGGGGAGCGGGCGGTTGAGGAAGGGGGCTTGGAAGAAGGGGAGGAATCGAAGGGGCCAGAGGTGGAGGAGGCGTGGGGGGAGGGCGAGGGGGAGGGGGAGGGGGACGGGGGGACCTCTGGTCGCGGCCAGAGCAGGACAGGGGCGAATTCGGCTGCTAGGCTTTGAGCGTCCATCTGGGGAAATGGGAGGGCGTAGGGAGGGAGGGAGGGAGTGGGAAAATGCTTTTTTGGAGTGCTATAAGAGGCGTTTTATTCGCTGCGACATGGAGACTAGCACCCCAACATACAGGCAACCTTCAAAGTCTTCTCACCCCACCCCTCACCTTGTTCACATCGGCATGCAGGCTGACTTGGTATAGCAGGCACAGCGCAGCATGCAGCGTCTCGAGATTCACCGCAGGTAGCGTGTGCAGCAGGCGCCTCAGAACCCCCCCACACCGTTCTGCACCTTGTTCACATCGGCATGCAGGCTGACTCGGTACAGCAGGCACAGCGCAGCATGCAGCGTCTCGAGATTCACAGGCGGGGGACCGTCTATGGAGACTAACACGCCAGGAAGGAAAGAACGAACAAGGCTAGCCCTCACCTTGTTGACAACGGCATGCAGGCTGACTCGATACAGCAGGCACAGCGCAGCATGCAGCGTCTTGAGATTCAGAGGTTGGGGACCGTCTATGGAGACTAACACACCGTCTGTGGGACCGTCAGGGAGGAAATAACGAACAAGGCCAGCCCTCACCTTGTTGACATTGGCATGCGGGTTGACTCGGTACAGCAGGCACAACACAGCATTCAGCGTCTTGAGATTTTGAGACGTCTCAAAACACAGCGTCTTGAGATTCACAAGCGCCTGAGCTGCTCGACGTCGCTGCTTCCCACAGTGGCGACCTCCGATTCAACCCTCAGATTCCCCCCACACCGTTCCTCACCTTGTTGACGTCGGCATGCAGGCTAACTCGGTACAGCAGGCACAGCACAGCATGCAGCGTTTCCAGGTTAACCGCAGGTAGCGTGTGCAGCAGACGCCTGAGCTGCGTGACGTCTCTGCTAGCACACACCCAACCCGCACTTAACCTTCAGAGCCCCCCACCCGTCCTCACCTTGTTCACATCGGCATGCAAGCTGACTCGGTACAGCAGGCACAGCACAGCATGCAGCGTTTCCAGGTTCACAGGGGGCAGCGTGTGCAGCAGGCGCCTGAGCTGTGTGACGTCGCTGCTGCCGACAGTGGCGACCCCGGGGAAGAGGGCGAAGGTCATGAGGGGCTCGGGGAGGCACTTGAGATACACCAGCAGCAGCTGCCCCACGTCTAGTGGACTAGTTTCCGGGGGGATGTCTGCGTTGGGGTCTGGTTTTTTTAGAGGTTGAGTGGGGTGGAAAAGGGGAGAATGGGAGAGTGGGCTCGGGGAGGCACTTGAGGTACACCAGCAGCAGCTGCCCCACGTCCAGCGGACTGGTGTCTGGTGGGATGTCCGCATTGGGGTCTCATAGGTGGGGGAAGTGGGTAGTGGGGAAGGGGGTTGGCTCAAAATTGCCGTAAGGGCGTTGAGGGGACATTGAGGCACACCAGCAGCAGCTGCCCCACGTCCAGCGGACTGGTGTCTGGTGGGATGTCTGCGTTGGGGTCTGGCAGGTGGGGGGACGAGGGAGGGGGAACGGGGGAACGGGGAGTGGGGTGGGGGTTTGGCTCAAGATTCAGGGGAACACGTGAGAGCCATGGCAAACGTGTGGGACAATTCTGGGTCAGAGGGGAAAGCCTTTGAATCAGCAAGTTTGCTGTGCAACAGAAATCAGTCTTAGCTGACCAGCATCAAGATGACTTCCTAGTCAATTCAAATCTTTTATAACCGTGTCATCACTCTCTCATTGCTCACTCGTTGCTCACCAGTATCGAACATGTGCATGAGTCTTTTGACCACATGCGAATCGTTCTCCGACTCGAACAAGTACTCCGTAACCAAGCCTGGTGGTAACCACATGTGGAACACGAACAAAGGACGAAATAGCGCATCAAAGTGAGAATGATTACGTTCTTCTTGCCAAATTATGTCTTGGCCCGCCTTATTGAAGGATGGAGAGAGAGCCAACCCACCAGGCACTCTTGAGTTTTGAGACATCTCAAAACTAGGTGGAGGTGGAAACACATACAGACACGCAAGGGTAACATTTGTAACAGCTTGTGACACTGGAAGAGCATTCAGCACGGTGCAACCCACCGTTTTGCAGGATGAAGTTGCAGCACTGGATGACCACGAAGGGCACGGCTGTGCCCCTCTGCCTGCTTGCGAATGCATCCAAGGGCGTACCAAACACTGCCAGGGGGTGAGGCGAGCAAAGGGATAGCAGAGTCACAAGGCAGCGTGAGCTGTTGTAGAATTCTTGAATATCGCCTCAACAGGCGCTTCAGAAAGGCCTTCAGGGGAATTCTATACACTGCCAATAGGTAATGCAGCCTGTAGAGTAGCCAGTTCGCAAAGTAACACGAAAACACATGGCGAGAAGTTAGTCGAAAAGGAGTAGCAGATTGTGAGGAAGAGGTTTAGAGGACAGCTGAAGGAAAAGAATAAGGGGAGAAGCGAGGCAAGATCGAAGGCAAAGAGAGCCCTTGCAAAAACTAGAAGAACTGACATGCAGGCTATTTCATGAGGCAAGATGGTGTAAGGGAAATGTAGAAAAGGATTTGGAAATAAATAAACGGAGTGACAGCAAAGCGTGGATGTAACTAGGGAGAAGAAAGACAAGCACGAATAAGCAACCGTCACCTAGTGTGGCGTCACCTGGAGCTCCGGGCCGGCCCTGGAACAGACGGGAGTGCGTGTGCGTGACAAGTGCGAATGGCGGGGAGGGAGGAAGTGAGAGACGAGAGGGTCCGGTCAGATCAGACAGCCAGTGGCGAAGGAAAGAGGTGATTGGGAGAGGGCGCGATCAGGGAATCAAGAAAGAGTTCCCGAGGTAGACAACAGTAGGGACGTGAGCAGAACGGAATGGAATGCGCATTCATGTGCGTGTGCGCTGTTAGCGTTCGCGACAGAGGAAGACGAGCGGGGAGCGAGGGAGAGGGGATTCGAGGCTGGGTGGATGGGGGGGAGTGGGAGGGCGTGTGAGGGGAAGGGGAAGGGATGGAGACAGAGTGAGTGCTTACCCTCCGCCAGTCCACCTTCTGGAGAAGCCCCTTGCTTCTCTCCATGCCATTTGCCGACAGCTGGGATCATGGGCAGGGCACCAACAGGTTCACCAGCAGGACACATAAATACGCAACGCATGGGTGCATGCAATGAGCTGAGTTTCTGGAGAAGAATGCTGGCAGTAAGAAGGAGCTCAAGAAGATCGATAGCGAGTTTGGAAATGCTGGGCAGTAACCGCAAAGATAACGATAGTCAAGAATACTGAGAGCAGCAGGCAGCTACGAGACTCCACAGTCCGGATTTTGATGCAATTGCTAGGGGAATGCATCTGGCATAAGGAATGATTGTTCGGAAATGCTTCAAGCTGAGCTTACTCCGACAATCTGACCTCTGCGATTCCAGGTAGAGTCCGTGCGAGGCTCATACCACTACAACATTCCCGTTTCCCACTTCTAAGACTCTTCCATCGATCCTTGACTTTCAGATTCACAACTTTTCCACCCACACGATCACCTAGTGACTTTTGAGTCGACTCAGAAGTCATCTCTTCTTGAAAATCTCGCAACCCAGAAAATCCCACCAGTACGATTTCGCTATTTGTGAAAACCTCACCCCAATAAGCTCTTCGTACCTCAGTGAGCTGTTGACCGACGCGACTGGCCTTGACTTTCTCCGTAGTCTCCATGAGCCCCTGCTTCAGGGTCGACCCCGTGTCAGCCGCCACGCGAGATGGAATTACCACACAGATATCTCTTCGTACCTCGGTGAGCTGTTGACCAACGCGACTGGCCTTGACTTTCTCCGTAGTCTCCATCAGCCCCTGCTTGAGCATCGATCCCGTGTCAGCCGCCACGCGAGCCGTGGTTTCCAGTCCGGCCTCCATTCTCGGAAGCACCTTGGTGTTCCAGCTCTCCTTGGTCGACTCCCACGTGGTGTGCATTCGAGTTTTCGCTCCTTCCGCTGCGACGGCCGCGCGAGTCGCAGCCTCTGCGACTTTCGGCTGCACGTTCTGCTGCCATGAGGTTTTTACCTTGGCTCCTGCTTCGCCGGCAGCGCCTGCGACGGCTGATCCCGCTGCTTTCAGCTTGAAAGCTGTGAGGAGTTTAGATGTAACGTGGGAAAGAAAAGAGAAGGATCAATAAGGTAGATATATCCGCAACAAACTGATGTCGATGTCGTCAATGCCAAGATTCGCTGCTCAACGAAATGTGTGAGGTGAAAAAACAAGAACAAACTGAAAGTAATCGCAAACGCTTGAGACGAAGCTGATGCAAGAACAATTTCCAGGCTCATCGCATGTTCCTATTTTCAGGATGCCGCTGAAGAGCTGTATGAGATCTTACAAATCGGTTTTATTCTCAAATGCGGGAAACGCGGGGACTTACAGGAAGTGGAGATGAAAGCGCCTGCCTTTTCCCGCCAACCAGGAGCTTCTTGATCCGCCATCTGGCCTCGTGTCTAGAAACCAATCACGGTACAAGGAACCAAGCGACCGCTGTATTCCAGCGGAAAAATCTCAAAACGGCTATATCACAGACGCCATTCGGATTCGTGAACAAATTCGTCAGAACACGAACAGATCCGTTTTGATGGGAGAGCTACAAAGTCTAACAGCTTGCTAGCGTAGGAAAAGCGGCCAGAAGTAGATATTCCAGGTAAACGCGCTTACACAGTGAATGCAGTCGTGACTTTACTACTATGATAACGTAATTGCTTAGTGAAGATGCTTACTCAACCTGTGACCTTGCCATGGCTATGGTATGGGTGGTTTTCCAGGGATGGATTTGGAATCTGCAGGGAATGGAAATGGAGAATGGTGTTGCAGCTATTGTTGCTCGTGTGCGAATGGTGTTTGGTCTGGGGGCTCGTTACCGCTCAGAAACATACTCATTGTAAGCAAACCGTTCTTCATCGCATAAAAACCTACTGAACCGTATAAGCTCATCCGACACCCCCACGAACGGGAGGTGGGCAGGAATCGAGGTGGGTGGGCAGGTTGGTGAACGGGAGGTGGTGGCGATGGAATCGAGGAAAGGAATCTACGGCAGATGTGTTGGCTGGGTGGGAGACGCAGATGTGCGATAATGGAATTTGTTTGGTCCCTGAAGGCATGGAGGTGATGCGTAATCTGAACGGTCCGTCCTCGAGATCTGTTTGGAAGGGAGTAATCGAGGAACCCAAGGACGATCCTGTAACGAGCGCTAGCACCCAACAGAAATCCCTCGTTGGAAAACAAATAAATTCCTACATAATCCTTATCTTCCCCATCATTGCAAACTAGTGTAATCTGTTTCCATCACGTTTGAAATTCTCAGAATCTGGGGATTCAATCGGGGACAGCTCGTGCTGGATTTGCAGCGGGACCACCCATGGGGCGTTCACCTCGAGAACTGTTTCTTGGGAATGCTGTGCAACTCATGTCGCCCCGTTGGTGTGTTTCAGAAAGCAGCTTCGTGCCTGACGACGTTTCTGTTCATGGATAAGTGAATAGTGGCTCCGTTGACGCTGATTACTAATTAATTCGTGGCTGCGATTCGAATCCATTTCTAATCAGTAGGTCGATCGCTGCTTCATAAGAACTGTAACCATCATGTCCCCAAGGCGTCGTCGTGGGAATAAGCTTTGAAAGAAATGGATCACTTATCTCTTGTTGTTTCAACCTATTCTGGATTTTCTCACTGAATGCCACAATAGTTCCCACAATGGAACGCCGAATTCGAAAAGACCCCGGAGGTGAATCTCTCCCACCAGCATCGTCTGATCTCCATCCGCGTGGAGAAAACGGAAACAGCGATGACGGTAGTAGAATGAAAAAGGCAGCTGGTTCTGAAACAACGAGCAGCCATGGATGGATCTGGATGTCCATGCTGGCGACGCTATACGGCCTGCAGCCTGTGATCATGCGGAAATGCCTAAGGTAGCTGTCCTTCCGCTCTTGACACGTGGCGAGTCGTGAACCCCCTCTTAGGTCTGGAAATCCACTCTGGAAAGACCATACGATTTGCCTACACCATGTGATCGCTTGAAGATGCTTCATTTAGTGTTTGCCTGGTAGCTTCTTACTCTTTATGATTGACGTAAAAATCGAGGCATTCACGTCGTATCGAGCTAGTCATGGAATGAATACACGAGTTGCCGCCTTGTATCGACTGATCCGTCTCACTCCTCTATATTCTGATGTCTTACACACCCACAAGGCAGCGCTGACGCCATCATCGTCAGCCAAGTTATGGCTGTCGACGTCGCCAAGGTGGGTTACGTACAGTCCGCTCCACTCTGGTGCTTTCTCCTGTGCTTCTCCTGTTCTTTCTCCTGGGCGTTCTCCTGCTGTCTCCATGCCATGTTTTGATGTTGCGGTTCAGTTCAGCTCAGCGTTACAATACAGTTCAGTTCAGCGTCAGCATCACTACCCCACGACCATTGTTGCGTTCAATCTCCACACAGATCATCTGTTCGCTCGCTGTGGTGCTTCTTGACGGATCAGCCTGGCGGCTATGGCGCAGCTGGCGGATAAAAGAGTTCCTCCAAGGCTCCATGGTGCCGGCTTTTGTGTACACGGTGCAGAACGTGCTTATCAACATCGCCTATCGCCACCTGCACCCGGTCACCTTCGCCATGTTGTCTCAGACGAAGCTTCTCTTCACCGCCTTGTTCAACTTCATTTTCCTCAGGTGATTCTCTCCTCAATTTCAATCTCACCCTCCTCATATCATCTCCACGTAACGTGTGCCAGTGGCCGCGCTCTTATCCAGAAACATTCCCTACTGTCCAAATTCTTCAGGTTTTACCTCAGGTGGATAGTGAAAGTACTTCAAATAGGTGTCGGTGTACATGTAGATATCCTCTCACCATCCTTTCAACCAGTGACCGTTGTCCCATACACATACACACCTCTTTCTGCAGGCAGAAGCAGTCCGTCCGCCAGGTCTTGGCCCTGCTCACCATGCTCGTAGCAGCTGTGCTACTCTCCATAGCCGATCATGTAGAACTCTCGCTCTCCCTCTTTGGGGGCGAGGGAACGGGAGACGGGAAGTTGGGAAAAGAGGGAGCAGGAAGCGGCAAGGCTAGTGCAGGTGGAGGAGGTGGAAGTGGAGGGTTGACGGAGAGTCTAGCAGCGTCGGTTGTGTTTGGAGTGGTTCCCATGCTGGCAGCGTCTGTCACGTCTGGGTTTGGCTCCATGTACTGCCAGTGGGTCTCCCAGGTACGTCCTCTCAGCTTGTACCTCCATCCTGGGGCTGTAAGACCACCTCTACCCTGCCTTCCTCGTCCTGTTGCACTTAATGGCTTATTCTACGAGCCTCTCTGTGTATTGCTCTCCCCACTTCTCATTCTCTCAGACTCTCATTCCCCCAGGTAAAGGGCCGCAGCTCCTTCCTAATGACCATCGAGATGTCCTCCTTCAGCTTCTGTTTCCTCCTCATCTAATCCCTGCCTCCTCTTCTCCTCTCTGCCTCTCTCCCTCCCACAGGTGAAGGGCCGCAGTTCCTACCTGATGACAATCGAGATGTCCTCCTTCAGCTTCTGCCTCCTCCTCGCCTCGCTCCTTCTCTTCCCATCGTCACATGACGCTGTGCGCATGAGGCAATTCGGTTTCTTCCACGCCTGGACCCTCCTCTCCACGGTACGTTCTGTTCAACTGCTTCACAACACAGCACCTAATGATGCTCCCTGCTTCTCGCCTCTCTCCTGCTCGTGTCCGCATCCTATGACGCCGTGCGCATGAGGCAATTTGGCTTCTTCCACGCCTGGACCCTTTTTTCCACGGTGCGTGCCATGTTGTGCTCTCTCTCCTTGGCTCATTCCCATCCTCCGATGTTTCCAGATTATTTTCCCCACGTTTCGTGTCAGTGATATGAACGCAACTTTTCTTCGAATCTCCCCTCTGCAGGTGCCCATATTGACCAACGCGCTGGCAGGTATCCTCGTGGGGGTGGTGGTGCAGGTGTCTGGAGGGCTGAAGAAGGTATGTGTGTGACTTCGTGCATGGAAACGTTTGTACGCGCCTGCATTATGTGTGCGGAAATGCCATGGGCATCTCACCGTGCTATGCATGAGTCACCCAGCTTTGGCTTTTGTTGAAACTGATGGGAGTCCCCTGTGCTGCTTCCCTTCCTTCCCCTCCGTCATGCCTTCGCCACCCCCATTCCCCACTCTCTCCTCTCTCTCTCCTTCCCCCTTTCACCCCGCCTCGTTTCCCCCCTTCTCCCTCCTCTTATTCCCCCCTCTTTACCCCCGCTCGCCCAACTTTTGATTGCAATTTGTCCATCCACCTCTTCTCTCTCTCCCCTTCAACCCCTCTTCTCTCTCTCCTTCACCCTCCCCCATTCGTCAGAGCTTCGTGATGATAATAGCGCTGTTGGTGACAGGCTGAGATTTCTCAATCCTCCTCTCCCCCTTACTCCCCCTCCCATCCCGCCATTTCCAGGGCTTCGTGATGATAATAGCGCTGCTGGTGACGGCAGCAGCCCAGCTGCTTCTTGAAGGCGAGCCTCCCCCGCTGCTGGTGTGGGTGGCATTCCCATGGTAGTGGCCACTGGCCAGCTCTCACGAGCATGCTGCATACCCTTACTCGCCTTCCCCATTCCCCTCGTCTCCAGGGTTTCGTGATGATAATAGCGCTGCTGGTGACGGCAGCAGCACAGCTGCTCCTGGAAGGCGAGCCTCCCAAGCTGCTGATGTGGGTGGCATTCCCATGGTAGTGGCCACTGGCCTGCTCTCACGTGCATGCTGCATACCCTTACTCGCCTTCCCCATTCCCCTCATCTCCAGGGCTTCGTGATGATAATAGCGCTGTCGGTGACGGCAGTACCTCCTTGAAGGGGAGCCTCCCCGCTGCTGGTGTGGCTGTTCCCCATCGTTCTGGCCAACAGCACTCTTCTCCTCCCTTATTCCCCTTCCCCCACCCTTGATTACCAGGGTTTCGTGATGATAATAGCGCTGCTGGTGACAGCAGCAGCCCAGCTGCTTCTTGAAGGAGAGCCTCCCCCGCTGCTCGTGTGGGTTGCCTTCCCCTTGGTAGTGGCCAGCACTCACGTGCATGCTGCATACCCATACGTGGAGAGAAAGGATTCAGATCGAAGGAAGGCAGAGTAGAGGAATCAATTATTGCTTGCTGGTACGAACAGTGTTCTGTCCCACAATAGTGGCGAGCACTCGCGTGCATGCTGCATACCCGTATGTAGAGAAACGAAGAGACTGGTGCGGCTGTCAATCTCTAAAGGATAGATAGACACTGGTGGTGTTCCCCCTGGTACACGTACGTTATTTATTTACTTTGGTTGAAGCATCGAATTGAATCTCTTGCAGAAGATTCCTTATTGGTCGCCTAGTTTGTCATGCCATTGAATTTTTTCACATGCAGAAGGTTTGTGAACATGTTTTTCCTCACCAGATTCAGCAAAGCTAGACACCCAGTAAATCATCATCAGCGATGAGTTTGCCAATGTATATATTATCAGGTAGCAGCACTGAAGCACTGCGTTGCGTCCCAAAGCTGTCAGTCACACACGGACTATGACGGATGAAAATCAGCGGCGGCGCGATCCGATGGCTAAGATTGGATGAATGATGTAACTGTTACTGGAGCAAGCACAGTTGGACGTTGCGACATGGGGATTTGTTTTCGAAAGTGCTTGGTCTGAGTATGAGTTGGACGTTGCGACATGGGTATTCTTCCGTTCAGGTCATGGAGACGGAGAGCTGAGGGGTGAGGGAAAGGGGGGTGAGGGGTGAAATGGCGAGATGCAGGGAGAGCGGAGGGAAGATGAGGGGTGAGTGGGGGGGAGATGTGGAGAGCTAGGGAAAAATGAGGGACGAGTGAAGGGGGGAATGCAGCAGAAGGTAAAGAAAGGAAATCAGGGGTGCACGGGGAAGAGAGGGGGGGGGGGGGGGGGGGGGGAGAGATAAGAGGAGAGGGGAGTGATGGGCTGGCAGCGGGGGGGGGACGAGGGGAGATCGGGGAGAATAGAGCAAAGAGCAGAGGGGAGATGAGGGATATATGGTAACGAGATGCGACAAAAGCGGGGAGGGAAAGGGGGGTGGGGGGGGGAGGAAACGAGGAAAGAGCGCAGGGCATTCAGCGAAGGGGATATGAGGTGTGAGCGGGAAGGGCATGCAACGAAAGAGGGGAAAAGAGAGGGGAGGGGGAGGGGGGGGGAGGAGGTGGGGGGAGGGAGGGAGGGGAAGATGGGGAGAATAGAGTGAAGAACAGAGGAGACATGAGGGGTGAGTGGTAAGGAGATGAGATGAAAGCGGGAAAAAGAGCGGGGAGGGGGGGGGGGGGGAGAAGGGGGGGGGAAGGGAGGGGGAAGGTGGGGAGAATTGAAGTAAGAACAGAGGAGACATGAGGGGTGAGAGGTAAGGAGACGGGGACGGAGCGGACGAGTGGGGGGAACGAGGGGAGAGCGGAAGAAGATGAAAAATGCCCTCCCCACCCAACAACACCCAACCGAAATCCCGCCACCCCCCCTTTTCTCTCCCCTCCCCCCTCCCCCGTTTCCCCCCCTTCCCCCCCTCTCCCCCTCGCCCCCCAAACCTCCCCTTTCAATTACTTACGCAGTCCGGTTCAATGTGCCAGGACTTGATCACCTAAGGCACCGAAGATACTGTCGCGTCCGCATGTAACTGCTAACGGATCTGTGTCCGCAATCAATACTGATTTTATGTCCGTCCGCCATTAAATCCATCCCCGTTAAATCCGTCCGCCATTAAATCCGTGAGTAAAGGAAAGTTCCTACTCAGGCCGCAATTCATAATCTGAACATAAATCATCCTCCGGCTACAATACGAACATCTGACGCACGAAAGTGGCGATACCCACTTGAAGCTACGCGGAGCAGCGAATATTAATTACGGCTAATAAACGCGACTGACACTATCTACTTTACGCTTAGATCTGAGAAGCCACGCGGGATGAAAACCAGAGAAGCGAAGGTAAAGCTTAGATCTAACAGCGATTAACAACCTATAAACTAGAATCGACGATAAAGAGAGGTGCATCACGAAACGGAACTCAAGGACGTGAGGAGGTTGATACAGTAAAGCACGGTGGTGGTTGGGTTGGGTGACGGACAGTGACAGGTGACCAAACCAATCTCATTTCCTATTGGCTCACAGACTTTATCCCAACCACACCTCGTTACACACGATGCCCAACCAGTGCACGCGAATTTGCCTTGCGCAGGATGGAAACCCTGCACCCGTGTATTTTGTGCCAGCCAGTTGCACCCCATCTACAAGCACCCCAAACTGAAGAGACCGGGGTCAAATTGTCAACGCTTAGTTACAATTCTCCATCTGCCCTTTTATAAGCCCTTTTTTGCTAAGTGCGAATTATCGAAATCCAGACGAAATCCAAAATCACTTAAAAGCCCAGAGAGAGAGGCAAGGTCGGGGGGCTCAACCGGGCATCGTGTGTATTTCAGCTGACCTTGTTCACAAGCAGCGAAGTGAGTTGTGAGCAGCTAATCTTACTGACAGCTCAGCAGAAAAAGAGTTTATCGGCCAGCTCCTTCCTACACCCTCCCCGCAGCTCACGCAAAATTAACCAAGAACTGCCACGTCAGATTTCTCCTAAGAACGTTCACCCCTGCCCTTCCCCAAAGCAAAACCTAAGTAGAGTACACACACGATGACTCGTTATCAGAAGCACAAAGCAAACCAAACAAACCCTCTAGCTTATATTGAGAGTGTTCTTATTGTTAAGGTTAGAGGTTGGATGTGTTGTGCACTGTACACATTTCAGTCGCCACAGCTTACCGCGGATACAACTCTCCAAAACCATCCATTCAAATCAAACTCTGGCACTTCTCCCCGCCTGCACTTAGGCAATTCTCCCCGCCTGCACTCTGGCACAGACGGAGCGGCCTTGTCGCACCTCGCTGCAGCCAGCAACATATCGCATTTGAAACTGAGGCGTGCTCTGCCGCGCGTGGCAGACATGGTGGTTTAGAATTAGAATATATTACTGCTTATAACAAAAATTCGTGAACAGAAATCAAGATTAATAAACACAAGTCATATACAGCTTCATAAGCAAGCATCACTATGAGCTCAACTACTCCATCCGCAGAACCGCTGCGCTAGTCTTCAGCAACTCCAAGTCTTGAACCGCTCCATCTTCAGAACCCCGCCGCCGCTTGAAGTGTTGTCATGTCTTGTCACTTACCGTTGACCCCTCTTGGCCGCTAGAGGCAAATGCCTCTAGCGTTACACCCAAACACCGCGATGAGGTGGGGGTCTTCGTTTGGGGAACCTGCTTGGGAGGGGAGGGACGATAATTTCGGAAAGGAGGGACAATTAATATGAGATGAGATTTCGGAGAGCGACGCCTCAGGAAGAACGGCCGTTGAGGAGAGGGAAGAGGAGGAGGAGGTAAACGCAACCCACCCACCCACTAGCTCCCTTAATCTAACGCTCCTAATCGTCCTAGCTGATTCCTCCCGAGTGCCTGACAAAGGGAGGGGGAACGGAGGAGTGGGGATGGGGAAGGAGTCAAACTCCAGCGCAGCTCCGCCGCTCCTTTGCTCCAATTTCCGCGGATCCGCCGACCCGTTCCATCGCCGCGCCGCCGCCTCTCTGCTCCGACGAACCGCCGTCCCTCCGCGCCACCGTCGTTCCGCCGTCGCTGTGCGCCACCGTCGCGCCGCCGTCGTTCCTCTGCTCCTCGCGGATCCTGCTACAAGGGCAAACGGAAAGAGTTAGTACGAGTGAAGTTAAAAAACCACAAAAACTGAAACGACACCTCACCTTAAAAGTTGTTGACGCCGTCCCGGCTCTCGCTTGAGCTCCCGTTCCCGCGTCTGTTCCTGCTACAAGGGCAAGCAGAGAAAGTAAGTATGAAGTATTGAAAACATCAGCATAACTGAAACGACAACTTTCCATGATAAGAGTTGCTGCCGTTCCCCCTCCCGCTACTGCTCCTGCTACAAGGATAAACAAAAACTGTTAGTGATTCTGAAGAAACTTTTCAAGTAAACTTGAAAGAACACCTTACCAGGGAGGGTAACATCTCTTGTAATGTGAAAGCAGTTCCAAAAGCTTGAAATGTCAAGCATACCATCTCTCTTGGTCTTTGACCATCACAATGGGACTTACCACAAAGAGGATACTGTGTAACTAAGCTATCGGCAGTTATAGCTTAGTTACACAGCAACCTCATGGTGGTAAGTCTCATTTTGGTGGTCAAAGCTTTGAAGAGATGGAATGCCGGGCATTACAAGCTTATGGAATTGCTTTCGCATAAAAAGAGATGTTAACCGTCAGAACCATAAGATAAAAAAGCGAAACAGAAAACAGCAATGAACGAGAAAAAACGAAGACGAGAAAGAGAAGTGTCGCCATGCGACGAGACGGGCCGCCGAGAGCCGCACGAAGCGCCGCGTGACGAGAGAAGCGTCGCCAACCGCCGAGCGACGGGAGAAGCGTCGGCAACCGCCGAGCGACGGGAGAAGCGTCGCCAACCGCCGAGCGGAGCGCCGTGCCAATCGCCGTGCGGTGGGAGAGGCGTCGCCAAGAGCCGCGCCAATGGCCGCTCCACGGAAGAAGAAACGCCGCCAGTCGCCGTGCGAAGCTCCAAATCGGGCCCTTCACTAACTGCATGAAGCAACGAGCACGGTCAGATCCGAGAGATAACAAAGCGAAACAGAAAACAACAATTACGAGAAAGAACGACGACGAAAATGAGAAGTGCCGCCATGCGACGAGACGAGTCGTCGAGGGCCGCACGAAGCGCCGCGCGACGGGAGAAGCGTCGCCAACCGCCATGCGACGCCGCACCACGGAAGCGCCGTCAATCGCGGAAGCGCCGGAAGCACCGTCAATCGCCGAATGAAGCTCCACCAACGGACCGCTTCGTTAAATGCATGTATCAACTTACAAGGTTAGCTAAACCTTAGATATAAAGATGAACAAAGCGAGGAACATTAAAGCGAGGAAGAACAATAAAGCGACGAAGAACATTAAAGCGGGTGCCTTACCAAGCTGAAACCGAAGCTCGACTAGCGACGGTCAAACCAATCAAGCTGCCATCGACGCCGCCGTGTGAAGAGGTCGCCTCGCCGTCGCAATGCGTGAGCGAGAAGAAGGGAACACTG